TGGGAAAAATTCAAAACACCTTCAAAAAAAAAATTGTCAAAAATCAATGCGATTTTTGACTAACTCCGAACTTGCTAGAATTAAATTAATGGGCTGCAAAACTGCATACTCAAATAAATTGTAAAAAATGTGATTAAAAAGGTGAACATTTGCTGAATTTCCGCGAGTTTTGCACAAAGTTTAGGTATTATATTTTTTTTTTGTGTGCTGTAAAATGAACCATATTTTTATACAAAATTAGCGGAAAAATATTAGAATAAAAATGTATGCTATGTTCTCTCCTCCTGTTTTCTTTTCTTTTCATTGAATTGTTCAAAACCAATAATTAATTTCCCTAAAGTTTGCATAATTTATTTTTATTTTTTTTATTTAATTTAATTCAGTCAAATGAGTAATAATTCTTGCTGACCATAAGGGAACGCGTCGCAGGTAATGTAATACGGTGTTTACATGAGGTAATTTTACAGAGAACTTTTAGTTGGAAGCAACAATTGCCTGGTGTGAACGGCCTCTCAACTAATCGCTTCCAATGAAGGTGGGGGCTAGCCAACTTTAGATTCAAATAATCGCCTCATGTGAACATTGTTTAAAGGAACATTCAAAAACGATATTTCTAAGTGAGAACTGTAATCATTTACGCATATAAAACACTGACGACAAAATTACATTTTTAAAGCAATACTAGAATAGGCGCGTTATCGACTAGACAGTTTGGTTACCTTTGCCTCTGAACCCATACAAGCAAGTGTTTCTTTTTCAACTGTAAACAATTCTTGTAAGTATCATGAATTATTCACGTGAAGGTATTTATCATTTATATATCAAAAAATTTACTTGGAAATGTAGATGCTAAAGATAACGAGTAAAAAAAAATGTGTGTGTTTTAGAGAATTTCCTGTAATTTCCGAGCATAAAATTTGAACTTTTCGCACTTTTTTCTGTAATTTCGCGAAATAAATTTTTCGAACAAAGGTAAAATATCCCCATAAATTTTAGAATTGAGAATAATTTTTAGGTGCAAAGCAGATAACAAGGACCATATGTTCTGCGAATTGCAGACGTTATAGAAATCCAGTCATTCCCATAATTTATATTTAGGTTTTTCTAATAAAAGAGAGAGCACAAACTAAATTTCATCGAAATCAGATACAAAATTTAATGTTTCCGCCCACAAGAATGGAGGGCGTGACAATTATCCCATCTTTACTATGTATGTATATTTCATAATTCTCTATTCCTAAGAGCTCGATTCGCATTCGTCCTCGTTCTCTGGTAAATTGGGTAGTTGGCAGTTGAAACACATATGTACATACATACATTTACAACTATCAAAGCCAATTTTCTGTCTTCTGCGTATACTTTCCTGTTTTGCCCTCTAAGAAATTTCCCGAAACAGATATAGTTGTGGGCATATAGCGTGTATATACATAGATGTATGTATGTTCATATACGTACATTAGGGTGGGCCAAATTGTTCGGGTGAGAGAGAAAAAATGCGAAAGGCGTATAGCAAAAACCAAAATTACGCTAAATTCTAAGAAAACTACCCAAAGAAACTAGGGGTTTAAAATTAAAACTTAGACCGCGCCGAGTGGCAAAAATATTTCAGTTTGAGGTATGTTTTTTAAAACCACTGCATAGATTTTTATGTCTCTCGGCGGGAGCTTGATTTTTATTTTAGTCGCATAGTTTCTTGGGGCAGTTTTCTTAGAATTCTTCGTAAACTACGGTTTTGCTATACGCCTTTTGGCAAAACAAAAAAATATTACCCACCCTAATGTACATACATACACAGCGAGCATGCATTCTTACAGATAATTTTTCACCGCCTTTGAAAAAGTTTATTTCATGCTTCCATTTGATCAAAAAAACAGTTGGTCATTGTTTCGCTTGAGAGTAACGTGTGAAAATTCAAATTTTTTATTTGCATTTTGCATAAATTATACATATGTACATACATACATAGTACATACAGTGGTGGAAGAAATAATAGAAACTTTTTACTTTGACCAGTTTTGGCTATATTACTTTGTTTATTCGATGTTTAATATTTTTGTAGAAAAGTCTAGCGCAATATATAACACACACCATATAAATCCACATTTCAAAGTTTGTACAAAAATTTAACAAATTTTATCAAAATCCCTAAAAAATTTCAAACTTTTCAATCAGCTTTTTTTTGATGCGATTTTCTAGCTTCTTGCGGTTTGCACTTTTACCTGCTAAAATTTAATGGGCTATGAAACTGCATATCCAAAATTTTTCAAAAAAATCTGATTAAAAAGTTTGAAATTTTTGGGGGATTTTGTTAAAATTTGTTGAATTTTTATAATTTTTGTACAAACTTTGAAATATGGATTTATATAGTGTGCGTTATATATTGCGCTAGACTTTTCTACAAAAATATTAAACATCGAATAAACAAAGTAATATAGCCAAAACTGGTCAAAGTAAAAAGTTTCTATTATTTCTTCCACCACTGTACATACATAGTACATACATACATATGAATGTGCACGCATAGAAATGTCTAAAAATGTTTCCAACAGATTGTTATTGTAGTTGCATAGGAGAACTTCAATTAAGTAATATTCGATTCTGTCTAGAACTACTTCGCTAATCGCCAATCGCCAAGTAGAGCTTCACGCTGAAAATAACGGGCTTGGGACCACAGCTATTAAATTATGTAGATTATTCATTTGGCGACAGCTTTCTTCGCTGTCGCTTTTGATCAGCTCAGTCGGTATTCAAGCGGCTCCAGAGTCCAGAGGAGGTAGTGAGCAACTGGATTCTTCTTCATCAGACACTCCATCGGTGGCGCCAACAAAAGCATTAAGAAGTGTTCCCTCCAAATCGCAAGTATATTATTGATGTCTGTTACCATATTTCCATCTTCGTCTCTTCAGAAAACCCTGCCTTAGTACTAGAATATTTTTATATATACTCACCTCCTTTTTTCCCGGTGTCGTTTTATCGTCGCACGCTCACAATTGGCTACAGATTGGTTTTGTCATGTTGAAATTGCTAACCGTACCTTAAACATCGAGGCAGAGGATGCGCTAGTATGCGTGAAATGCGTCGTGACAGTTGCGCTACTATGCTCAACATTCCTTTATTCCCTTTCTTGTACACAAAACAATGTGAACACCGCATGTACGAGATGCGAAAACCCATCTAGGTGCGGCCTTGACTTACGATAGAAAGAGAGAAAGCTCACTGAAGTTAGCAACTTCTATTAACCAGTAGATGCAGCTGAATGCAGGTGTTTGTCTGAGCATCCAACTTAATTTATAAATGTGTTCGAAATAAACGGTTACCTCTCCGCCACTGCAAGGAACCTAACTCTCTCTCCCACAAAGTCCTTAGCGAAACGATTCGGACGGTGAATAACCCGAAATCCTCGGAGTTACTATCGGCAGTCTGCTGTCCTTCAGGACACAGTGGACGAGGCTGCAGACATGCCAGAACACGGTTCTGCTGACCTCATGTTTTCTGGTGTCGCCACAGCACCACCTTCACCACGAGGCACAAGTACTCCCAGTTAAAGCGGTCTTACACGATATGTATTTTTCTGAAACGATCTAATATATGGTACACTCGAATACTTACTCGAATACTCCTGTCCTGTGAATGCCGTTTTGTGAACACAACCACCTAACATTTAATTTGGAACTCAAACTGTTCATATAATAAAAAAAAATAGTTTAGCAATTCAGAAACGATTAAAATTGGATTACCGCTGTAGGGTTTAGAGAAGATTTTTTGAGAGTAAATACCTACCGATGGCTGAGTGGAAGATCGACCTATCTCAGCAGCCAGTTCGAAAACGCCCTATCTCAGAAAACTTTTTAAGAACGTCCTACTTCAGAATCTGATTGAAAAACGCTCTATTTCAGAATTGTATTGAAAAACATCCTATCTCAGAATTTGGTTGAACAACGCCCTATCTCAGAATTCGGTTCAAAAACGCCCTATCTCAAACGAAAATACGTTGAAAATAAGCTGAGATAGGGCGATTTTGAATCGGCAGCTGAGATAGGGCGTTCTTCAATCAAGAGCGTTGTTCAAAAATTTTCTGATAGGGCGTTTTCGAACTGGCTGCCGAGATAGGTCGATCTTCTACTCAGCCATCGATACAGTAACTCACAGAAGTATTCGTAAATTAATTTTTTTCGCAATATCAAAACGTTTTCCATCATAAATCTTTTTCGTTAATTTTCATTTAATATCGAGCCTTAACCGCCAAAATAACGTAAGCGACATTTTTTTCAAAATTTTCTTTTTGATGCAGAAATGCATCTAAATGCTCTAGGAATATTTCTGCATCAAAAAGAAAATTATGAAAAAAATGTCGCTTACGTTATTTTGGCGGTTAGGGCTCGATATATATGTAGCTCATTCTATAACAAAAACCATATAAATCATTCTTGCAAACTTTGTACAAAATTCATAAAAATGAATCAAACTTAAAAAAATGTTCATCAAAATTTCAAATTTTTATGGAAACAAATGCGCAACATCCTCGACAAAAAAATAGATTCTAAAAAATCAGCGGTAATTTTTCGCTACTTGAAATTTGCACTTTATTATACTAAACTTAAATGGGCTAGAAAACTGCATTCCGAAAATTTTTCTAAAAATTCTGAATAAAAAGTTTGAAATTTTGATGAAAATTTTTTTAGGTTTGATTCATTTTTATGAGTTTTGTACAAAGTTTGCAAGAATGATTTATATGGTTTTTGTTATAGAATGAGCGATATATTAAATGGAAATTAACGAAAAAGATTTATGATGGAAAACATTTTGAATATTGCGAAAAAAAATTAATTTACGAATACTTCTGTGAGCGACTGTATGTACTTACTCTCAAAAAATGTTTTTCCAAATCCTACAGCGGTAATCCAATTTTAATCGTTTCTCAAATGCTAAACTAATTAGCATATGAACAGATTGAGCTCCAAATTAAATGATTCGCTGGACTGTAAAATTTGTCAACAATGCAACTGCAATTAGAAACGAAGAAAATTTATAAAGAAAGGATAATCAAAATTCAAGTTGCTCGTCCTCTTACCTACTTGACACACTCACTCACTTTTAAACACTAATTGAATTTGACACATTTGGAAGTATGCCGCAGCGTCAATGACGTTGACAATGCCGATGATGCTACAGATACTGATGATAATGCCGATTATGAAGGCAGAAGGAAGTATGATGACGATGATGATGGCGTTGACCTATTTAAAGCGCTCAGCAGCCGAGCCGTAATTGCCAAATTCAACAAACAAAACTGCCAAAAAATTGCAAGAAAAAAATACCTGAATGGAGAGAGAATCGCGAAAATGAAGTAGATGCAGTTGAAGTAGGTAGACAAGGAGGGGTTAACGGATACGGTGATTGAAGTGGCAAAGTGGTGACCACGGCAAACAATCGAAACAAAACGCCCGTTGTCAGTGCTTAAGCGTATTAGAAAACGTGCCTGCCTTTGTGTATAGAGCGGCAGCGGCAGCGGCAGCAGCAGCGGCAGCGCAGGGTGACAACAACGGCAATGACTACATGGCAAAGGTGCACTGGACAGACCAGCAGTACATTGGTCATTGAGATATTTTGTTTGTATTTTGGAATTGGAATTCGGTGCTGCTGCCTTCCCTGCTGCATTGGCTGTGACGGCCACGACAGTGGCAGCAACAGAACGTCAAAATCAGGTACATGACTGTGTATTGCGTATGTACATATGTACGTCAGCATCAATTCCAATTCGACGGCGATGGAATGCAGGGCGTCAAGGCAAATCGATAGAGTTGAATGAATTTATCATCACACATTAAAGGCCAAGCAGCAGTGGAAGTTCGCTTATTTCTCTTGATGCAAGCAACCTCAGAGGCATTCGGAGCTGAAGTAGCTAGCTATGACTGCAGCCAGCAGCATCAGCGCTGGAAAGAACTTGTCTGCTTTGAGGCTTTTGTGTTTTGTTCGACGATTTCCGCCTTTGTGCGACATGGACGCCATACACAAGTACAAATGAATATAAATATATGTATTTGTACTGAAAGGGATACAATAAATGTGAACTACCTTTAGGAGCGAAGTATGCAGTATGACGACAGCAACAAAAACAACTAGCGCCCTGCAGTCAGTCGCAACAATGGGAGGGGTCAGTTTGTTTTTGTTTCCCTACCCATTATGTATTTGTTGTTGCTGCACTCTTACGTGGGTCTATTTGCGCAAGGATTTCCGCGAACGTCGCTGTCAGTTGCTCCTGTCAGCTTGTCTGGCGTTGCTTGCATCTTAGGTCGGCCTGTGCGCATGCGTTGTCATGCGTACGCAGTCATCCAACCAACAGCAGTAACATTTACGCAAAAACAGAGAGAGAGATCATTTGCCCCGGCTCATCAAAGCGCGTAGTGCACTGATATTAATATCGGTCTCGTATTATTTTCAGTATTTATCCAATTCGCGGTTGCCTCTTCACGATTTTCGGTGAATTGCGCAATTTTTCGTCACTATCCGCTGTATCCATTGTGTGCACCTATGTATGTATTTGTTGAAAATTATTTGGCGCTGCAGTTTTTTTCCGGCCTACCAGTTTTTGGTTGTGAATTGCTTATACTATTTTGTACAGCGGTGATTTTAAATAAATAAATCGTGTCTTTTCACGGTCGGTGGTGTTACTAATTGACAATGAAACTATCGTTTTATGAAAAGATGTTCCCATTTACAGATGTAATCTGATTATTATAAGGAGTTTCGCAGTGTACTATACTATTTGCCTAGAATAAGAAAGGCATGCGTGCATTTATGGTACAATGTTGATAGTTAATTAAAATATGCCAGGTGCAAGTTTTACAAATCGACGGTTATCTTAATGTTGCGAAATCGTGCCAACGTCCTTTATTCTACTTCTTGATTGTCGCTGTAACCGCCAAAAGCTGTATTTGCATGAGGCGATATTCTAGGCGATTCGACTTTGCACAACGCTCATGTCAATGGTGATTCAAAAACCGCTCTCCTCAAAGTAGACAGCAAGTCAAGTTTTGCAAGCGTTTATCGACTGTAAAAAAATCGCGTAATGTAAATGCAAGCACATCGAACATGGTTTTTTTTTGTATTATTTAAAGTGGAAAACAAAACAGGACATATACGTATATTTCTTCTTATTCTGACTTTTTTCAACATTCCATTGTGGTAGTCACTGTCAGATTTCCTTAAGAATACAGCTTTTTCATCAGAGTACCTTTCAAATCATTGGAATTAATTGAATAAGTGCATATTTACATACTTTTTTCATTAGTTAATCGCGGCAAGATTGAAAATTTTTTAATTTAACGAATTCAAATTATTGTTGACAAAAATGTAACCCTGTGCCACGATCCTGGTTGCAAATTCGTGCTGTGAAAATTTTTGCCTTCCTCTCCAAATGTCAAAGTTGTGCTCTCTCCTTGCAAGTTTTACAAGTTTTTGTATCCAAACGAACACGATTTGGTAACAATTGGTACCAACTTGTACAAGTCTTTTGCATAGCGAACAGAACTATTTTGTTTGTTTTGTTTTGCGAAAACTGAGAGGTGAAAACCTCGGATAATCCATGAGGTCAGACTTAGATTAGTCGCCATGGCGAAAATCCATAACTTAGACTGTCATTACGGGTGTTTCATCAACTGAAGAAACTGCTCGGCGGCAAGAGCTTTATGGACCTTAAAGCAACCTATTTGGAAGGGATAAACAAATTTGTAAAAATGCTGGACTAAATGTATTCAGCTAAAAGCAAAGAAATAAAATAAGAAATAACTACAACTACGTCAAAAATGAGAAACGTAAATGGAACAGGCGACTCGTTGTTAGGAATGTTGGGTCATTGACCGATTTCTATACACTTTGATACTGGCACCTACACTGGCGGTTAAAACTGGATGAATGGTGTTTGTTTTTAACCGACTTCCAAAAAAGGAGGAGGTTATCAGTTCGTTGGAATATTTTGTATTTTTTATTATTATTATTTTTTTATGTATGTTACCGCATAACTTTGGACCACGCCAACCGAATTCGGTAAGATCCGATCAGTGGATCATGAGATATATATATATATATATACTTTTTTTATGCGAATTGAAGTCGTTTTTTTTGCTAAAAGATAGTTGTTAATATTTACAATGTTTTTCAAGCTAAAATTTTTTGTTATTTTTTTTTTTAATACGGTTTATGTTTTACTAAAATCATATAAATCAAACTTTCAAAGTTTACACAGAATTTAGAAAAATTCTACAAATTTATCTTAGGTATGATCAAAATTTTAAGTTTTGAATCAGATTTTTTTTAATTTTGGGTAGGCTTCTGAAATTTTAGTAAAATAAGTGCAAGTTTTGAGCGGCTAAAAAATTGCAAAATTTTTAATATTTTTTTTGTCGACGGTGTTTTGCACTTTTTTCTGTGTAAACATGACTTTTTGTGGGAAAAAATGGCACCAGACCGTTTGCGAACAAATTAAGAAAAAAATTAAGGCTAGTTTTTATAAATTGCACTTGTTGTATAAAAAAAATCACAAAAGCCATCAGCAGGTTAAATAAGGGGTATTCAGACGTTAATGTGAAATGAATTGCACTGGTTCGAAATACAAAATTGTGAAGTTGCGAAATTCTATCAACAGTAACACAGCCGAAAATCTAGCATCAGTCGTTGCATTTCACTCTTTACCAACCATAAGCAAATGCAATGACTGCATTCTCGCATTTCGCACCGTTGCAATTGCATTTCGCATTAACGCCTGAATACCCCTTTTATTTTTTAACCGCTTAAAACTTGCAATTACACATTTTACTAAAATTTATAATCCTTGTAACAGCATACCAAAAATTTTTATAAAAATTTTGATTAAAAAGCTCAAAATTTGTATGAACATCTTTTTTTTTTAATTTTTCTAAATTCTGCACAAATTTTGTAAGTTTGATTTGTATGGTTTTCGTTAAAGCATACTTTTATAAAAAATAAACAAAAAAATATTTTGCTTGAAAAAGATTGTAAATATTAAAAACAAAACACCATTCATCGAGTTTTAACCGCCTGTGTACATACAGTGACGAAAAAAAAGTATCTATTAGCACATAGAGTTTTCGGCAATGTATGCAAGGTTTTTTATTCTTATTTCTTTTCGCAAAATTTTTATAAAAATGTGGTTCATACTACAACAACAAAAAAAATGAAAATATATCTAATTTTAAAATTTTTTGCTAAACTCAGAAAAATTCAATACATTTGCTTACTAATTTTCAACTTTCTAATCAGATCGCATAAATTTTTGGAAATTTTCTTTCATGCAGTTTCTTCCATACAAAGTACATATGTATCGTCGAAATTTTTTTTTTTGTATGGAAGAAAATAATAGCAGATTATCTAGTATGCAAATTTATTGAGTTTTGCACAATGTTTGGAGTTTTAATTTTTATGTTTCTGCGGTAGTATGAGCTATAATTTCATAAAAAAAAAACGATAAAAAAGAGATTAGAATAAAAAACTTTGCCTAAAATGCGAAAAATTCTCTGTCTCTATACTTTTCTTCGTCAATGTACGTATGTCGCACCCAAAAGAATGGCACCTAACTCACCATCTTATCTCAAAAAACGATCGCTTAGGCTGCTTTTACAGGAGTTGAGTATTGCCGACTGGAAAATTTACTCAGAAATTGACTAGGAAATGGACTAGCCAGAGCGTTTGTATACACGAGTTGACAAAAGTGGCATTCAGCAATAAAATTTTTTCCAAATACATATGAGCAGCAGAAAAATTATTTCAAAGCGTGCATGGAACTGATTCTAAAAGAATTATTACTGCACTGGTTTACGAACAAGAAAATATAGCACACTGTCAAAATGTCAGCAATCGAATAAACAAACTAATTTATGGGTTGCTTCGGTTCGCCGTCGGCTGGCAAAAGTTTACTCTGTCGATTTTTGTCGACTGCGGTCGGCTGAATTGTCATTTATCAGACTGGTCTCAGAACACACAGGCAGTGGATCACATTGTTGTGCCATGTTGTTCAAGTCAAACGTCAAATACTGCTTCCTGGGCAACCAAAAAACCACGTAATGCACCTGTGCCTCCAAGCAGCTTCCACAGCTTTCACCTGAGTAACATAAGCCAACACCCCAACACAAGCCGTAACATATCCACGCCCCAACACAACCCGTAACATATCCACACCCCTACCTACACGCCGCCTCAATCCACGTGCTAGGACTAATTAGCAGCTCCTGGTTGGTTCTTAACATATTCTGCTCCGTGCGTCTGTATAAGATATACCGTAATGCGATATCATTGAAGTACAACCAGTGACTTAGCTGGCGTCACTTAAAAGTATGTTCTGAGCTTGACACCTTGACAATGGAGAAGTGGCTATCAAGGCTACTGTCACACATCACGGCGCAGTATCGTCTCATCGAAGCAGACATCGACCGCACGTTCCTGCAGGCGAACGTACCTCACCAAGGTCCACAACATGTCAATGTCCGCTGTCATCACTCTCGATATGTGAAAACCCACCAAAGTGGAGGCGTATCGGACGATAACTCTTCTTTCCCCGATAGCGAAGACACTCACATAGAGAGAGATATAGTAGCGCTGGATTTGTCAAAAACGTTTGACACCGCCTGCCACTCCACACTACTACTGGGTGACGCCGAATGAACTATATGGTTTGAATTCTTTATAACAGTTTTTTTTTTACTCTATGCCAAAGGGATCCACGCCTGGAAATGACCTGACAGCAGCGGTGCCAAATGCTTTTGCTGAAAAATCGTCATTTTTCCTTGAAAAAATCGTAATTTCGGCCAAAAAAAAAACCTCAAATTTTTGGTTATAATACTGGGTGGCGCCGAATGAGCTATATGGTTTGAATTCTTTTTAACAGTTTTCTTTGGGGATATTTCAATGAAAGAGTGTACATTAACAAACCAAGAACCATTCTCCAACTCCAAACCAACATTCCAAATGAAATCATGGCCATTACACCCGACATTCTGCGAAAAGTTATGGAAAATATTAGGGCGGTGAGATTAATTGATTACTCTTAATTTAATTAATCATAAAGTAAATAACTCAGTTATTCGATTAATTAGAAGTTATGATTATTCAAAAGTTCAGTTACTCGAGTAATCAAGACTTTTGATTAACCAAAAACAAAAATATTTGAGTAATTTGCTTTATGATTAATCAACATTTCGAGTAAAATGAGTAATCAACATTTCAACTCATTACATATGTATAAAGTAGTGAAAGTTCCTTGATACTTCGATACCACGGTTGTTTATTAGGAAAAATTGAAAAAGCGACAAAGTCTAAGCGGTAGACGTTATAGCACTATTTCGGAGATCACCACATCTCCTCATCAGACTTCTTTTTTCTAGACTTCAGCAGGGATCGAACCTGCGTATTCGATGTTCAAAGTCAGAAGCGTTAACCACTGAGCTATGTACATCCCGTAAACTCTTGTTGCTAATTCATTATTTTTGCTAATTATTTTTTTTTTTGAGTAATCATATTTCAAGTAACTCGATTAATCATCGTTTTGAGTAATCAAAATCTTGATTACTCGAGTAATTGATTAACCGAATAATTAATTAACCAACTTGCTCGAGTAATCGAATAATCGCACAGCCCTAGAAAATATGCTAAACAGAGCACGTATGTGCGAACGAACAGAAAATGGACATCACTTACAGGATATCATTTTTCAAGGCTAATTACAAAAAATTCCCCAATAATATACTGTATTTAAAACAAAAAAAAATTATAATAATCGCATAAATAAAAAAGTTATAAACCATTTAAACCATATAGCTCATTCGGCGCCACCCTGTAGAAGACATTGAGGCTTCCTCTCTCCTACAAGGACTCAAACCGTGGTCAACGAAATACCTAAGTGGTCGACAATCGCCAGTAATCGCTCCTTTTTATTTTCCGGCAATGGAATCGATGATCTTTGTTCAATGGTAAACGTTTACCTTTACGAAATTTCTCGCTTTTCCGCTACAAAGAGCGTAATTCTCTTCCATACGCAATCCTCAGCAACCCTTTTCACCATGTGGACGAAAGAGGTCAGGCTACAGTTGGGTATTGACGTCTATGACAGTTCCTAGTGGGGTGCAACAGACGTGGGCATCCGATCAGAAATCTGCTTGCGGCTGAGCACAGAGGTTAATAAAACAACCACTGGAATCGACAGCGTACATAAGCATTCACAGGGCCTCGGCCTCAACCCACACCAACTCCCGACCTGTGAATGCCGAGATTCGCACCACCGTATCGTAACTCCGCTCTAAATACTGCAGCAGGTTAAACTCCTGAGCAGGATAAAGTCAGTTGTGCCCAACGTATGTCCGGCATGTGTAGAGTCACCGCACGACCCGACACCTGTTCGCATGCCCACTAAAACCCACTCAACTAACGCCCCTATACCTCTGGTTTAACCCAGTGGTGAAACGGTCACATTTGTACGCTCTAGTTTGCCTTTAGAAGTACTTTCGTTACATCCCATAAATATTTTCATCTAGGCTTTCAAATTATGAAAAAGTGCCATCTGCCCGTTATTATTAACGTAACGACATAGGTATTATATAAAGCCCAACATATGTACATATTCAAATGTTTTTTCATTAATATATGTATTAAAATGCTTGTCATTAAGCCAGCGTAACTCTAAATTGTTTCTGAATGTATTTTCTTCCAGTTTGAACCAACAAGCACTTCAGCAACACCAACCCCAGCATCCTCCGTCGATGCACAATAGCACGCAGCTACAAAAATTACGTCAGCAGCATCAACATATAAACAACAACAACAACAGCAATAGTACAAACAAAAACAACTATCATCATCATCAACCTCAGCAATACAACAGCGCAAGCAACACGCACGGCAATGTTCTGCCAGCTCAAACAGCACAACAACATCAACAAAAACAAACATCGCAAACGTCACACCATACGTCACGGAATCCATCAACACATCAGCATCAGCCCCAGCATCAACAACATCCACTACACCAACAACAGCCGCAGCTGCAACAGCAGCAGCAGCAACCACCGCCGCTGCAACCACAGCAGCAGCAACAACATACACTTGCAGTGTCTCAAATGCCTCCCCAGCAGGCGCTTGGACATTTAAAGCATCCACAACAACATGTGCAACAAACGCCAGCTGCACAGCAGCATCCACAACCACAACAACAAATACAAACAACATTGAATCCGGCAAGCAATGTTGTCAGCGGACACTCGCAACCACTGCCACAGCCACCCACACAACATCCTCAACAGCAACCACCTGCCGCATTGAACTATTACACTGGCGGCGTTGCTCAAAGCAACAACAATAATATACACAAGTCAAAATATAAACCCAACGTTGGCGGTGGCGGTGGTAATGTAGCTGGTGGTGGTGGAATGCAACCAAAAACTATTTTACAAAATCCAAATCGCATTCTGAAAGCACGGCTGCACAGCAGCGCGGCAGCAAATAACATTGAGGTGACCACTATTGGTCCCTTGGTGAGCATAGAAGAAACTAAGAAGGTATCAAAGAGCAGTAATACCAGCAATATCGGCGATGGCGGCGGTGTCAATAATGTTGTAAGCGCCGCAGAGGCATCAGTAAAAGCGAATGTGGTTGTAGCTGTAACTGAAAGCGCAGTAATTCCTTCGAACAATAGGAAGGAGTGTACGAAAAATGGGCAAAACACAAGCCAGAATGACGGTACGTCTGTATTTTTAACCGACTTCAAAAAAAGGAGGAGGTTATCAATTCATCGGAATATTTTTTTACTTATTTTATGTATGTTACCGTATAACTTCGGACTAGGAAATTACTTGCTTTTTTATAAACATATGTTATTTTTGTTGCTAATATGTCTTTTGTTATGGTTTTAGCTTCCATAAATGATGCTAAAAAGGAAAACGTGACGAGTGGGACACAAAATGCAAAAATTAGCAATGAAGCGAGTAGTAGCAATGCAACAAGTAATAACAACAATATTTTGTCCAACGAAGACAACACCGTGCCAAAGAATTCGAAAGAGAAGACCCCAATGTGTCTCGTCAACGAGCTGGCGCGTTTCAATAAAGTTAGTTCCTTTTAACGATTATTTGTTTTTTACTTAAAATTAAACGGTGAACGTTATTGCTTTGGATGTTTTATAGATCACACATCAGTATCGTTTAACCAGTGAAAAGGGTCCGGCGCATTGCAAGCGATTCACTGTCACTCTAAAATTGGGCGATGAGGAATATTCAGCGGAGGGTTTCAAAATCAAGAAAGCTCAACATCTAGCAGCAGCCGAAGCTATTGAAAAAACCAAATACAAACATCCTGTGCCGAAAGTGATTCGTCGCAATACCGATGGAGAGGGCAGTTCATCTCGCGCCAATATTACGCCCACAGTTGAATTGAATGCGTTGGCCATGAAATTAGGCCAACAGACATATTATCTATTAGATCCACGTCAAGTGGCATCACCCGATAGCATGGGACCACCACCAGACGCCATGATGCCCCCGCGCTATGGTGTACCACCGCCACCATCGCATGCGCTTCCACCGCCCGGCATGGGCAGCGGTCATATGATGCCCCAACACGCACCTCCACCGCCGCCACCACATGTGCATATGATGGATCCGCCTGCATATCTGCGACGAAATGGGCCCTATGCAGTACCGCCTGCGCCACCGTTGCACGGTCATCCTACCTCCGGACCGGGCATGCGTCCACGCTATGGTGCACCACCTCAGCGCGCATACATGCCAAAATATGGCCAGCAGCAACGATATGCATTAATGGCGCCACCGCATATGGCTGGTGGTCCACACAATGGCATGGCCCCACCACCACCGATGCCGCACCATCCGCATCATTCTCATCATGGTTCAGTTCCACATCGTTATGGTATGCCAGCAGCATTGACCAGAGTTACGCTTGTCGTTGGCAAGCAGAAATTTGTTGGAATGGGGTACACATTACAACAAGCCAAACATGACGCAGCGTCTCGTGCGTTACAGGTGCTTAAAGCGCAGGCCGCTACACAGCTGAACGAAGCACTAAATAACAGCCTGGAGGAAAGCGATAGCAAATCACCCATCTCGCTGGTGCATGAGATCGGCATACAACGTAGCATGACGGTGCATTTCAAAGTGCTGCGCGAAGAAGGACCCGCTCACATGAAGAAGTTCGTAACCGCATGCGTTGTGGGCTCCATAGTGACAGAGGGCGAGGGCAATGGAAAGAAAACATCAAAGAAACGCGCCGCCGAAAAAATGTTGGAAGAGCTAAAGAAGCTGCCGCCACTAACACCAACAAAGTCGCCGGTTAAGCGTATTAAAGTTAAAACACCCAGCAAGGCTGCAGCAAATGCTGACGGAGCTGGTGGTGGCAGTGGAAAGTCTGGTGGCGCCGGTGGTGAACGACGCAAGCGCGGCAGTGGCTCGATCAAAGAGAAAAGTGAAGCAGAGGCCGATGCAGAGAACCCCATAACGCAACTCATCCAATTGCAGCAGAATCGCAAAGAAAAAGAACCTTTGTTTGAGCTAATAGCGAAAAACGGAAACGAGAACTCGCGTCGACGTGAATTTATAATCGAGGTGAGCGCACATGGCATGGTGGCACGCGGCACCGGCAACAGCAAAAAGCTAGCCAAACGTAATGCAGCACAAAGTAAGTACCGCCAAATATTGCAGATCATAACAAAAATAATACTCATGCATCTTTACAGATTTGCTCATAGCCATGGGTGAAAGTGACACCGATACCGCTGGCGTCAACACTGCCTCAGCACCCGCCACCATACAGACAGCTGCTGCTAAAGAGAGATACGCCCGAGCGCCTGCAACCGCCATCGATGGAGTCACTTCACATTCAGAGCAGCCGAATACAGTCTTGCAGCCAATTGCTGAAGTACCGCCACCTGCTGTTGCCGCCGAGGCGCATCTTGATTTGCCGCTCGTGTCCACCCCAGCTGGACAAGTACCCGGCATTTTGATACTGCGCCATAATAAAAAAAGTTTGTGATAGTATGTGTAATAAACGAATGTACGCTCACTAAATTTTTTACTTACAGATGCCGTCAAGAAAAAGGAGTGTGCGCCCAGTGCAAGTTGCGTAATGGCAGAGAATAATGAAAACAAACGTGCCGCCGATTTAACTATTGGCGCTGGTGTGCAAGCAGTGCAACAGTCTGCTGTTAAAAGCGCTGCTACTGATATTGTGAAAGAAAGTGAAGTGGAAATCGCGTTGAGCGCTAATCCACCTAGTGCTGTGGTGCAGCCGGTGGCAGCGCCTATTACCAACAATGCTCAAAAAGCTGTTAGCAGTGCAGCCAGCAGCGCAACAACAACAACAACAACAGCAAGGGCGAGCAGCAGTGCATCCAAGCCAGCAGGCGTGCATATGAAGGATCAGCTGCTGTACCTTGCAAAGCTTTTGGGATTCGAGGTTTGTCTTACATATCATATTTTTGACAGGAAGATTCATAGTAAATGTATATTTTGTTCTTTTGTCACGCGCTTAGGTGAACTTTTCCGATTATCCAAAGGGAAACCATAGCGAATTTCTTACCATTGTAACGCTCTCTTCGGATCCACCACAAATTTGTCATGGCGTGGGCAGCAGCGCTGAGGAATCCCAAAATGATGCTGCTAGAAATGCATTGAAAATACTTAGTGAATTAGGCTTAAATAATGCTGCGAAATAAAAGCAGCATGCAAACGCTGAGAAGGAGCGGAGCGTATATAATAAAATACGAAAAGTGGGAAAATAATAATCAAATTGAATTTGGCGCAACCAAATCTATATAAAATATGTAGAGAGTCTCTACTAGAGACGAGAGACGTTAAATAAACGTGGGGAGCGAAGGAAACGGAAAAATATGCAGCGTACTTTCTCACTCATTACTACTTTAAGAATGTTAAATGAGGTTCAACTGCAGATTTTCATTCAATTGAAAAGGGCAGAACCGCAAAATATGTGCAACAAAAAAAGTTAAATTGATTTTTACGATAATTAAAAAAAAAAAACAGTGCTGCTATATTTATGCTATTTTGTTAAAATCTATGCTATATTTTCGTTTAAAATCCATATTTGTTTAATTTATTTACTTTATATTAATCATTTTGTTATTTTTATGCTTAGCAAAAGTTGTTAAACGCGTTAGCAGAACTAAAAATTGTATTCATAAAATTGTGCAGAAAGCATAAGTAAAAAAATTGTTTGTTAAGCAAAGGCTTAACTCGATATGTATTTAAATTTTTGCATTTATTGGTTTATTTTTTTTGTGGATTTTGAGCATTTTTTGTCTTATTTAAAAGCGTTTAAAGTTATCGTTTTTCTCAGCAGTGCACAAAGTTGAGTGAAAAATTGCGGATTGGCATTCACAATTGAAATTTTTTTTCTTTGTTTATTTAAAAACTCAAAATTTTGTCTTGAAAGGAATGCAAATTTTAATTCTCTTTTGCAGAATGTTCATTTATTATTGTTAATACTACAACAACAAATACTTATTTTTTTCAAACACTATGATTAGGTCAAACTGTTGTGGTAACTATATTTTCTATATGGTAAATTTTGATTTAAATGCCTGCTGATTATTAGACGCTTTATCAGTTATTAACCGCTATTGGGATTTAATATCATAAGAGAATTTATTTTTATGTTATCTACTGTCCTTTCAGAAGATTTAAGCTTAAGATAAGGTCGATCTTCCACTCAGCAATCGATTTTCTCCATTTATGTACTTTACCTAGCGTATATTTCAAATTTCCAAAGCGAAATCAATTTATGTGCCGTGAAAAACAAATAGCATTCTTTTGGCGTGTATACAGCTCTCTATCGAAATTCAAAAAGTATTCCTAAATCGAGTACAAAAGCAAAGTTATACATACTACTATAGTATTGTGTTCATGGAGTAAACGCCAGAAATTATTTATATTGAAAACCCTCTAAATACTGCAGCAAAGGCTTGCATGTATAATGAATTAGTGTGTAGATCAAAGATATAGCCGGCTTATATTTTAAGAAAATTCCAAATTGATGGCGCTCAAGTAAGCACAATGGAAAGCGGTTTCTACTGGGCGTTGCTGCTGACAAAATATTTTTCGAACACACACAAAAGATGAAAAAAAAAATTCGGCGTAAAAACCTTTAAAATTATGTACAACATACATATGTATATCCTTACCATCTAATCTTTTTATTATAAATCATTTTCATTCGGCAATTATATTAATCTATGTAGTAATATAAGCAAGTTGCGTGTATCCTATTGGCTAAATATATTTCCGTGTATTTGCCGGGAATTTCAACAGCTTAAAATTAATTGCTGAAACACTGATGAAGCTAAAGAAAACTACAAAACAATTATTTTGTGAGTCTATCATATTGTGAGTTTCGATTTGCGAATGAGTTGTTTTTGCAAAAGCGCTCGAAACTAACTACATACATGCTAAACAAAAAATCAAATAAATGATTAAGCAATTAGTGTAAGAAATGGTATTGGATTAGAAAAGGAATTCTAAAATTTATAATAAAAACACAAACATAGCAATGTAAAAAAAAAACAAAATTGTAACCTGTGGTCGTATTTTGATAGCAAACATATTAAAAATAAATATAAAAATTTGAAATTAATTGGGGCATTGTTGAGGTCGATTGCGCAACAGTTGATCAGAATGCATATGAATGCACGTACATATACTATATCCAAATATATGCATATTTGTACGTTGCAAGTGGTGGTAATTTGAAATTTTTAATTTATTTTTAGATAAACGCAAAATTTATTAAATATAACTTGAAGCTAATGGCTAAATAAAGTAATTATTACAATCAATGCAACAGCAATTTTACTATGAATATTACACATATATCACATTTGCTGCTTGTGTTGATTCTAAAACAAAAAGTTAAGAAGCCTACTAATGGAAACAAAAAAGAATTACAACAATTTGTTTGTGTTGCACAAATATGCGCACACGCAGACATTTAATTTTCGATGATGGAACTCGTCGTAATAATGAAAAAGTATTTCCAATAATACTTTATAAAATATTTTTAAGAAATATAGAGCTGCATGAATGTCGTAAATTTAATTTATAAACTGCTTATAGGCGTAACCACATACTATCACCTATACACATACATAATTACCATTAAAAAAAAAAACAACATACATATGTAATGCATGCAAACATAAACATCTGCAAATGAACAATAGCGATTTTATAACCCACAGCAAACAAGCAAAAGTAATGCGCTATAGGTTATTTATAAATTAAATGACACTGGCTAATCATCTCTCTCTCTTAACATTGGCTGGGTATAACACATCGGTCGCTGCTGCCTGCTTCAATGTTGTCAATTTCAATGAGGCGTTTTTCACGCTGCTTGAAATTGACCACTTGGCGGTGTGTACCTGGCCGTATTTCTACTGCATAATACATATTATTTATTTCTTCACATAGCACGGACAATTCATAATAAATTGCGTTAATTTTTTTTATTTAGATTTTTGCTTAAGTGAGATCAGTTAGGCAAAAAATTAAACTGCGAAATTCTTATGTTTGCTTATAATATTCGAAACCTATGTAGTACATGTTTAATTTAGGTTCTTTGAAATGCGCTGAACATTTTGTTATTATGGGTTGTCCAATGTTGGTATTTTTCTTCTTAGTATTAAGTACTCATTTGTTGAAAGTTCACCTTTATTTTACACAAACGTAATATGTTCATTTAATTAAAATACATTTTTTTAAATTTAAAATATTACTTATGCCTAAATTTCAATCACTTTCAATAGAATATGAAATTACATTTATGAAGAAAAATTTCTGTATGTGTATTGCTTAAATAAATGTTAAATGTATAATTAATGTGCATGCACAGTTTTAAGGCTATATCATTTAATTTGTGGCATATTTTTAACAAAAAAAAAAAAAAAAATGTCCTAAATTTTATGCGCAAAGAAACTGTGCAGCACAACTTTAAATAAATGTGTGGATTATGCTGTTCAATTAAAATGCAGTTAACATAAAAAAAAAATGAAATCGAAAAAATGAAGAACAAAATTTTTCAAATATATGAAGAAATTCAAGCAAAACTAAATAAAAAAAATATATATATCTAAGTAACTATCTCGTTATCATAGGTTACCTACATATGCGTCTTTGCAAGTCGGGAAACTAATAATTTTACCTTGAATTGTGAATGACTTAAAGAGGCCGCAAAGTCCACAAAACTTGCGACTCCAGAAATGATGCGTAATTAATGAAAAAATAAAGTGTATATTCAATAAAGCTGAAATAAAGTACGTACAGAAGCGTATATTTGTATTTATGTAGTTACTTGTAAAGCAACGATTTTGAAATCATCTAAAAGATCTTGACCGAACATGACTTCCGTAAAGTGTGAAGTTTGGGTTTGAAGAACTACTCCGGACACGGTAAGACAATCACTCACTCACCAAGCTACAACGATTGGCATGTGTTGGCATAACAGGAGCAATGCACACATGTCCGACTATGACGCTAGAAGTAGTTAAATGTTGAACCCATTCTTATTGCCATAGAGCAGTAGGCAAAAAAGTCCTCAAGTTACTCGCCGGCAGCTTCTTCTTTTTTATTGGCGCTGTAAAGCTCATACAGCCCATCGTTAAATCGTCTATCACCAACGCGCAAAGGTCCGTAAATCTTCCACAGAATCTTTCTCTCGAAAACTCCAAGAGCCGCCTCATCAGATGCTTTCATTGTCCATGCTTCCGCGCCATACACAAGCACAGGCATGATGAGTGACTTATAAGATCTTTGTACGACGAGAGAGGACTTTACTTCTCAATTGTCTACTCAGCCCAAAGTAGCACTTGTTGGCAAGAGTGATTCTCCGTTGGATTTCAAAGCTGATATTATTATTGGTGTTAATGCTGGTTCCCAAATAAACGAAGTCGTATACTTTTTCAAACTTGTAACTGTCAACAGTGACGTGGGTGCCAAGACGCGTATGCTCTGACTGTTTGTGTGATGACAGGAGATACTTCGTTTTGTCCTCGTTCACCACCAGACCCATTCGCTTTGCTTCTCTATCCAATCCCGAGAAGGCAGAACAGACGTAGCCCTTGTTTTTACCGATAATATCGATGTCGTCGGCATACGCCAGCAATTGTACGCTCTTGTAAAGTATTGTGCCTGAGCGGTTCAGTTTTGCGGATCTTATTATCTTCTCCAACATCAGATTAAAGAAATCACACGAAAGGGAGTCCCCTTGTCTGAAACCTCGTTTGGTATCAAACGGCTCGGAGAGATCCTTCCCTATTCTGACGGAGCTGGTGGTATTGCTCAACGTCATTTTACACAGCCGTATTAGTTTCGCGGGGATACCAAATTCAGACATCGCGGCATAAAGACAACTTCTCTTCGTGCTGTCGAAAGCGGCTTTGAAATCGACAAATAGATGGTGTGCTTCGATCCTATTCTCGCGGGTCTTTTCCAAGATTTGGCGTATTGTGGATTTTCCCGGCCTAAAGCCACACTGATAAGGCCCAACCAGCTCGTTGACGGTGGGCTTCAGTCTTTCGCACAATACACTCGATAAGACCTTATAACCTATGCTTAGAGGGCTGATCCCGCGGTAGTTAGCGCGAACGGGGGGGTCACCTTTATTGTGGATTGGGCAGAGCACACTTAAATTCCAGTCGTCGGGCATGTGTTCATCTGACCATATTCTGCATACGAGCTGATGCATGCACCTCATCAGCTCCTCGCCGCCGTACTTGAATAGCTCGGCTGGCAGGCCGTCAGCTCCAGCAGCTTTGTTGTTTTTCAGCCGCGTAATCGCTATTCGTACCTCGTCATAGTCAGGCGGTGGGACAGCTACTCCATCATCATCGACTGGGGACTCGGGTTCGTCTTCTTCACTACTTTCAGCGCTGCTGCCATTCAGTAGGTTGTAAAAGAGTTCCCTCCACAATTTAAGTATATTCTGGACATCGGTCACTAGGTCGCCATTGTTGTTCTTACAGGAGTTCGCCCCCGTCTTGAAACCTTCCGTAAGTCGCCTAACCCTCTGGTAGAATTTTCGGGTGTTCTTCCTGTCGGCCAGCATCTCAAGCTCTTCGCACTCACGTATTTCAGCCTCTCTCTTCTTATTGCGGCAAATACGTCTCGTTGTTCTTTCGGGCTCCCTGAAATCCTACTACTTCTTCGGCGGCGGTACTTAATGATCGGGAAATGTGGTTCCACTGCTCGCGTATTTCGGATTGTTGAAGAGTGCTCTCAGAGAGCAGGTGTGTGAGTCGAGTGGCGAATAAATTGGCCGTCTGTTGTGATTGCAGCTTTTCGACGTTAAGCTTTCCTTGCATTGTTGGGCGTACATTTTTTGCTGCACAGAGGCGGGTGCGTATCTTGGCTACAACAAGATAGTGGTCCGAGTCGATGTTTGGCCCTCGGAGTGTACGTACGTCTAAAACGCTTGAAGCATGCCTTCCGTCTATCACAACATGATCGATTTGGTTTCTCGTTTTTCGATCTGGAGACAGCCATGTAGCTTGGTGGATGTTCTTATGCTGGAACCTAGTACTATATATTACCATTATTCGGGCCCCGGCGAAGTCGATCAGCCTCAGTCCGTTATCGGATGTTTCGTCGTGGAGGCTGAATTTTCCGACAGTGGCGCCAAAGATCCCTTCCTTGCCCACCTTGGCATTAAAATCGCCAAGCACGATTTTGATATCGTGTCGGGGGCAGCGCTCATATGTACGTTCCAAGCGCTCATAGAAGAGATCCTTGGACGCCTCATCTTTCTCTACCGTCGGGCATGGGCGCAGATGAGCGAGATGTTGAAGAATCTAGCTTTGATGCGGATTGTGGCCAGACGTTCGTCCACCGGGGTACGCACAAGAATCGCTTCTGGCCACTCCCAGGTGAATGGCAGTCAGAAGTTGTCCACTTCTGCGCACGGAACCATCGTCCGGCAGCACCTGTGGTAAAACCAAAGAGACGTTGGCAGCATACAAGGCAAATGGCCAGCCAGTTCTAAATTATACTGCGCCTGTTTGATGGCCACGACTAGCTGGACGAAGCTACAGACTTGCCAAATGGCCGGACTCCTGACAGCGACAAGATGCCTTCTGAGCTCGACGGAAAACCATAGATAGGCCCAAATGCTTCCAGTAAAGAGGCACAATCCCTGAACAGACACATGCTCGAGGCGAATCCTCCATTCTGACACGTCGGAAGGCATCTCTATGGATTGAAGGACGAGGTCCAACGTAACGTACAACAAATAATGGATCTGCCGACTGTGTAGTCTGGAAATCAACGGCATTCACTGGGAGGCTGTTATGACCTACATAGGCTCCCGTCCTGTGAATGCCGTCATAAGAGAACAATTAGCAGCTGTGGTCGATAGCGAACTTAAATTGCCGTGAAAAACACGCGCAACTGCGCCCAATCAACGCAACTAAAATAAAACCTCTCGACTTCAACGAGCTTCAGCTTCCAATTGAGCTCCACATTACTCTGGTCCAAGGTCCAATTGAGCTCCGCATTACGGTCTGGATACTGTAGCCGTCTGAATTCCAATCTATCCAGACTCGACCCCGACATACCAAAGATTCCCCGTATGACAAGAACCACCTCTTCACTTGCCCTCTCAAGGCAACTCTGCTAACACCGCTCTCCCTCTGGTCCAACCCCCGTCGAATTGGTACGTTTCCTGCACAATGCTAGCTGCCTGAGCGCACTTCAATTATCTCCTACGCCGATGATTGTTTTTTCATGGGAACGATAATTTGTGCAATCGCATTAACGACTACTTTGGGAAACTGTCTAGGTTCTTTTACGCTACGCACAAGCCCATTGGACGATCGGTGTCTGTGTATGTAACTACGCCGACCCGATGTGGCCGGCCCGCGGTCACTAGCGATACGAAGCGAGCAAACCTACCGCCACTTTGTGTCTCCTCAAGTCAGTAGAACAGCATAACAGTGAAGGCTGTCACCGAGCAAACCACCTCAATTACAATCTTACCGACAGAGTCCATCCGCTACAAAGTCTGAGAAAATTTTAAAAGGTATTCCCAATAATGAACTGTTGGTACATCACCTCCATTTTTAGTGCACCATGGGTTCCTTCCATTCTTGTAATTTTGGTCGACTTTTTCTTGAAAACTCTCTGTACAGTAAGTAAAATTCGAAGTGCAGGTAAAGCCAACAAGCTAACTCCATGCTGAGATTCTGTTGGTTATATGTTCTTATGTGGGGCCCTGTTTTCCCGCTCTGTAGAGCTCCTCTCTTATGTGTGTCATGCTATCCGGCGAGTAATACTTAGTATTATAGTGGGATATTTATCACACTTCAGCCTATCTCGGCTTACTGCGTTCCAGGGTAAAATTTATGCTGCCAGCGGTCCAGCTTCCTTAGGAGCTTTAACCTTCGCGTAGGTCTCGAGT